TCTTTTGACATGTCAGAACACAGGCTGACGTGGTAAGGGCCTGCAAAAAGCTCTACATTATGGCATATTAAGCTGGGGCTTGGATAATAGCATTAACAGTTCAGAAAATAATATTTTGTGGAAAATGTTTAAGGAACATCAGCTCAGACTGTTTTGCCTTTAAATGTGCTCACTCAGGAACCAAAACTTAATAGAAAGAATAGAACCAACAGTGATGTAATTAGCTGATGATTATCAAGCACTTACTTTCCAGACACTGCATTCTGTTTTGCGGTCTTGTGTATTACATTTTCACATCAGGCATACCTGCGTGGTAAATAATATCACTACAGTGACTCCTCACTTAATGTCATCCAGAGGTTCTTCAAAAATACAAATTTAATTAAAACAATTTCAATGGTAAGACTCTATTAACCAGAGGTTAATAGAGAGAAATAAGAGTTAAGTTCCTGCACCCTATCTCTGGTCACAAAAATATCACCATGCATCTAAGTAAAGACCCAAAACATTTCTAATGTTATATCATTATTTTCATGTATTCATTCATGTTCTAGCCTGCTTCTTCCAGTTCAAGGTCTTGGGTAGCCGGAGTGTCACCCAGCATCTGAGGGGCAAGATGGGTCCCTGTCCTAGACAGGACAACACAGGGTGCATCACACCCCCATGCTCACTCCCACAGGGGAGGGGACGCACTCCCACTGGGGAGTCTTGCTTGCATGTGCGTGGGTGTGGAAGAAACCCCACTCAAATCAAGCAGACACAACCCTAGCCGGGAACTGTTTGTTTCCCTCGTCGATGTGGACTGTAGCATTCTGGGAAAACCTGCTGTGCTCCCATTTGACATGGGAGGAAAATGACCCCAGGGAGAGCCCTCTCAAGATCTGCTGTCCTCACCCCCTCTGCTGCCGACCTACATCACTTTCCTCAGGAAGTGCCTTAAATACCATCTCATGTTCATGTTGTAATCACCTCTCCATCCCTGACCCCTGCAAAAGGAAAACTTAGATCTACTGACTCCTGTAACTTACAACCCTTTTCATCCTTTTCTGTACTTACTCAGAGCATCAAATGTGGGGGTGCCCAGAGCACCAGGGAAAGAGGCCACTTGGTCTTTTGTAGTAACCTACCGCTTGTCTCATGAGTCACAGGAACTTGTCCGACTCTGCTTCTTCTGTGACAGGTAGCACGTTGTCTGAGATGGCACAGTTGTTCTACATGACGGTTGCTTCTGTCACCCATCCCCTGAACCCTATGTTTTGAAAATATTTTGTTTAGCCAGCCAACGGCCTGTGTTAAAAATGAAATGAGGGCCCTCCCTGGTGGCACAGTGGGTTAAAGCACAGCACTAAGAAGCTGAGGTCACTTCAGCATGAGTTCGATCCCCGCCCACCCGGGAGGTGATCCACATGGTGTGGCAGACCTCTCCTGACCCGCCCGCTGCTCCCCTCAGCAGTGTACTTCGTAGATCTGCCTGTTCTGCTCCCCACTCTGTCTCTGGTGAAGCCTCTCACTGTCCCTGCTCCTCTGGGCTGAACCCCAGCTCTATATGAATAAATAAATAAATCTAAAAAAAAAAAATGAAATGATCCATTTTCACTTTGTGGGTTGTTTCAGGGATGTGATGGAGAGAGGTTATTTAACATATATTCTCTCTGGGACCATGTGTGGGATTATACTACGCCAGGCAGACAGGAAGAGCGCATGCTCTGGTCTCCTTTACAGCGGTTCCTGGAGGTTTTGCAAAATGCTGAAAAGTAGTTCTTGATCCCTAGGATTGGCCCATCTGCTTTAAAGGACTCCTACAGACAATCCCTTTTGTCTGTGGAATCTCTGTTTGAGGACTTTCAAGATTCATTTTGGACAAGTCTCCATCTCATTGTGCTGTTGTTTACGTAAAAATAAGAAGTCATTACTTTCCTCTGCTTCGGAGCCCATAATGTCTTCACTGAAGCCACCCTCAAAATCCAAACCTGAAAGCTATCTTATTTTGCCAACTTCTATTGTTAAAATGAACACCTGCCCTCCCCCATCAGCCCCCACACCACCAAAATAAATCAAACATGACATGAGGTTTTCTGTTATGATGAAATGTCCCCTTGAGCAGCAGTTTCTTTCAGGGCTTTTCTTGTTCCTTTGATTTAACTTAAACCAAAGAGCCAGACTCTTCCCAAAGGGCAAATTAAGAAGGTCTGTTAACTCTTTCAATGCCAGCTTCAAGAAATCCCAGCAATGCCATTAATGTTGTTTTGCCTTAGGCTTAATTCAGTTTAAAAATCAGCTGTCATTTTCATAGCATTCAAAATAGCACACTCAACAAACCCCTGGCATCTGAAATGTTATGCCTGCATCTGCCTGGACCAGGCCACCAGGAGGTGAAAAGATCCCATTCTCTGTACCACCCTGGTTTATACCATCAACTTTGGAAATTGTGAACGAGAGAATAATCGACAGTGTGTTGAGACCAACCTTGAAGAACAGTGAGACAAAGAGCATGCCTTTGTGTGAAATGTTGGGTGGAGGGAGAACTTCTGAATACAACAAAGGAAAAATTAGCTGTAATGGTAAAACGAAATGAATTGTGTCGCAAAACAGAATTCATCACTGGGAATGACCCTCCTGAGCTTTCTGCATACTTCAATGCAATCCCATAATATGCTTGATAAAAAATGCTTATTTTAGAGATAAACAACAGAATCAAAAAGCGAAAATAGAAGGAACGTATTCTAAACTCACACCTGTGGTGCAGGGCTTTGGCCTCAGAGTTAAATGAGTGAAACTGTGCTGTCTGTAGAATGTAATAATTAATCATCTTCAGCCTTGAATGAGAGTGCTAAAAGTTGGAGTCATGACTACAGGTGTACAGTGTAAGCATTTTTTTATAAATCAATTTTGAACAATGGAGTAATTATCAAATGAAATGCTGACTTCCTAGTATGACTGCAAGAATAGGAGTTCCCCATTTAAAAAAAGTAATAAAGTCAAATAAACAAATACACGTGAGAAAAGAGTTGACATAAGTAATCCCGAAAAATTTAGTAAAAACAAAAACAAAAAACAAAATCTCTAAGCTTCAGGTCATCTCACTTTTAGCAATAGAAGAAATAGAAAAAGTGAAGTTTCATCAAAACTTCCCAAAAGTGACTACGTTTCCTGTAATTCTGGCAAAGGTATTATCTTGCTAACCAGTGGAGAGCATGAAGCAAAGGAAATACCCCTTACCAACGTGAGGGAAACCACTGAGGAAAAAATCTGGCAGCTCAGTCCCTAAGATCATTACAATAAAATGTTTGATTTCCCTTAGCAACCCTAATTGTGACATGAACAGCTGTCAACAACAAAATTAGAGAAAAACTGTCATTATATGGCTTCCATTCACATTTGCTTGTCCTATTTCCACACCATTGCTCAGGAGAATGTTCTCAAAGAATTCTTGCAGGCGGGGTTTTCATTATTCAAAGGCGAGTCACTCAGGTTATTTGGCCTTCAATGCTGTACATGAAATATATTTGTCATGATAACAAGAGTCCCAAAAGGATGTTTATTGAATACCAAATTCAAGTGCATGAAAATGTCTGTGACAACATTTTTGTGATCCTGGAGTCATTCTGTAAAGTAGCTATTTCAATTTCTATTTTTAATAAGTTCTCATTATTTGTCAGAGGTCTATAAAGTCACCACAAACACTGAATCAGCGAATACTGAGCCATTACTCTTAAGGGAATACAGGGTCAAACGCTTGCCAGCTTTTAGTCACATTTTCACCAAGTAATCAATACGTCACCTTGCATTGTGTGTGTTTCTCCTTAAAGACAACTTCCTTATTGTCTATCGCGAATTCATTAACATCGAACTAATGGCGTCAGACTTTAGAAACACACCTGAACAGGGCTTATCTAGCACAGGTTTTCTCCATAAGACACATCCCAGAGCCCTCTTGTACTTAAGAGCTCTAGAAAGCACTTCAGAGCTGGGCTTATGGGACCATTTAAACAGGAACTCGCCAAGCAAAAGCACAAAAATAAGGGAAATACGGCACGAATTAGACCACCAAAGGAACTTGGCTTTCAGCGTAAGCACTGAACAAGGAGAGAGCATCACCTGCCCTGTCCGACCTCATTGGAGACAGCGTGAGGGGGCGAAATCTTTGCAGTTTGCCGGAACCTGCAGAGGTTGTTAAGTCCTGATGCTCAGGTTTAGTTTGGGGTACTAGGCATACCCACAAATAAGAGTCAGGACGTGGAATAAGTCACGCCTTATCTGTCTGGGTGATTCTTGCGTTACAGATGCGCTGCAGTGTTTAACATGCCCATGTTAGGCCCTCGTTCTGACCTCTCTTCCTGCCCGTCCCCTGCAGAGAGTCTGATTTATGGCTGTCTGTATATTTTTGTTGTGTTGTGTTTTTATTGTTCTTTTTTTTTCTCCTGGTCCCTTATTTGGGACCAGGATATTCTTCCTGTAAATGAAACCTTCCAATAGTTTAGTTTCTTTCCTTCTGCTTATTTCATTCAAAACAAGGGCATGAAGAGCGTACCGAACAAGGGCATGAAGAGCGTACCGGACAAGTGTGATGGTGCATGGATGAGTTAGTAGTGGAAATTCTATGGGGACAACCCCTGAAAAAGAAAGCCATTTTACAAAAGTGAACAGTGATGTAAAATAGATATAAATAAATTATTTAAAAAATAAAATTTATACGGGAATGGGATCAAAAACAGTGTGGAGAGGAAATGCACTGGACTATGGTGATGGCACATGGGTGATTTGGTGATGGGAAACCCAAGGGAATTGCAACTGAGATGGAAAAATGCACAAAAATATGTGAAAATAAACTATTATAAAATTTAAGAAAATAAAATTCATAAATAGAAAATCCAACTGTAGAGCTTATAGAATGTTAAGGTTCCTTGAAAAATATGCAAGTCATTACATCACAACCTTCCACATCATGATCTGAAGAAATTCGTTGTGTCACTTGCTTAACTTCTCAATGACTTGTGCAGGTCTTCCAGGGATGTGGCCAACCGAAACCAGCTCCAGCACTCAGATCTGCCCGCTCAGCTCCTGAAAATTTCAATACACGTTTCAGGCCCTATAATCCCGAGGAAAGACCCACAACTGCTGCAGGAACGAGTTTGGACCGGCTGGTGAGTTGTCTGGAATTCATGACCATGGGGGATCGTTCTGTCACCAAGCTCAGCCTTCAGGGGGTGTGATGGGCCTCTAACAGAGCTGGGTGTGAAAGTCACCTTCTAACCTCTGCTCCTAGTCTTAATAAGAATATTGAAAAGTAATGAGCCCTTCCTTTTAGGTCACAAATGAGATGATCTAGGAAATCTTATCACTATGAATCCACTCAGGCAGTGGGCAGTTTTTTTTACTTCATATGTCTTCTGAATTATTCATCTGAAGACAAGTTGCTCTGTCTTCTAGAGATACAATTACAACAACATTTCTTATTCCCCTGAATCAGTTATTCAGTTATGATACAGTAGAACTTTATGATGACTTCTGTGTGGGAAGATTTTTGTTTGAAAAACTTTGCCAAGACACCCCCATCCATGTTGCTACCAATTTTTCTTTCCTGCATGTCTTTAAAAAAAAAGTTTTCATTCTTAGAAGTGGTTGCTTTTTGGTCCATATAAATGTGTGCCAGAGGACTGAATGATATGTAATCATCAAAACAATTTACTTGAGAATACACCCACAGACATAGTTAATGCAAGTTTTAATGTGTGCTAAGCATCACGTTTTGCTATAAAAAATTAAAAGCTCATAATTTCAGAGAAATACTGCTTGATTACTTCCAATGCAAATTATAGTACTATAAACAATTTATATACCTGTAATTGTTAGTGCTGTTAATATTGGTTTGCCAATTATCTTGATGTAAAATTAGCAGATAAAACCTTAAAGTTCTAAAACACTTGAACCTCATCTGATTATGTCATATAAACTCGGATCTTCAATGTGTCTGTTATAAAAATGCTTCTGCTAGCTGCTGTTATAAATTACTTTATTGTTTTAGATAATATCTTAATATCATAAGATTAAATTGGTTGAGTTTGACCTAGAAGTAAGCACATAATAGCATTTCTCTCTAAAAAAATCAAATGTGCTTAAAGGCATATCCAAGAAGTGCCAGAGTAAGGAATAAATGGAGTCACTGACCATTAAATCATGTTATAAATTTATTACTGTTTTTTAGCAATGAAAAAACGCCCCCTTCTTGTGTAGGCTTGAAAAAAGAACCACCTGAGTAATTACTTCAATTTTTTTCTTGGTATCTACTATCTTTTCATAATTTTAGAAAAAGTTTTATGTCAGTCACCTTTTTCTCTTAAATAACTAATTAAATTCCACCAAACAGCTAGCAATTTGATTTTTGTTGGTTTATCTTGAAATGATAACTTCAGTAGCATTCAGAGTTTGGGTTTTTACTTTGCAAATCCCTTTGTATATCAAGATCCTTCTAGTCGGCACAGCTTCCCTCCCCCACCATTTTTGTTACCCCTGACTTAGCTATTGCAACTATATACTTTTCGGAGTTTTCATAAACTCATGTTGAAGAATTACACCACGATGCAAGATGAGTAAGTTCTGCTCTACACCATCATGTCTAAGAGAACAATACTGCATTGTGCACTTAAAAACCAGTTAAGATACATCTCATGTGAAGGGCACTTAAAATTTAAAAATAATTGGGGTATATGAGGCACTTAGTTAAAATTGCATTGAATTTAAGCAAAATAATGATTCTGTGACTATCAGCAATTTAATGATTCTATGACTATCAGTTCATCCTTTTTCCTTTTGATACAAGAGAAACACACAGAGGGACATACAGGGAAGCTGCAAAAGAAAGTCTTTTTTCAGGACAGCAGTATTCATGCAATTTAGCATAAGTGAAATGAAACTTTTACACTTTGAAAATTTCACACGATGCTTAAAATCTGAAAGGTAGGAAAATTAGAATTTAAGCCATTTACCAGGAAACTTGTTGGTAATCTTCAACATATCCTAATTATACAGGTCTGAAAAGACAAATAACAGACCACTTAGGCTCTTTACTCCCCCCCCAAAATATTTTTATCATTTTTTTTTCTGAAAAGAACTAGTAATAGTTAAAATATGATTCTGAGTTAAAATATAAGTGAATGAAAACCACAGACCAGAGTCAGCTCGTAAGAATCCAGATTCAGAGCACACAAATTTAAAGCCAATTTTATTCTCAAATCTGCTCTGAAGGCATATAATACTCCCTTCCTCGGAGGTGTGGCTTCAAGTTCTACCAGGGAGAGTGGTGGTGGAATCTATTTCATTTCAAATTAAACCTGATTCCTCCCCCAATTGTAAGAATTAGCGATCTATTACTCACAGCCAGTCACAAACCTACCTGGAGTGCCTTTTCCCCTAGAAACAAGGATCTGTTTTACATCAAAAGGAATTACTCATTTTTCTGGAGAAATCCAAGTTAGATCTGAAACTAACATCAGAATCTGTTCTGCAGCAACTGGCTCCTCCCAGGGCGTCCTTCCCTTTGAGAGTTCAGGGTTCTGAACAGCAGAAAGGTGAAGCCTTTACCTAGAGCAGGCAAGGCTGAGCTCTCCTTGAGGGTGTCTCAGACTTTCCAGTTGTCTCCAATGGCTTTGTAAACCAGCTTAATGTACCTGTTCCTATCAAAGTGAACCCCCTAAAAGTGTGTTTCCTAAATCTTTATAAGAAGCATGTGTTCCAGAAAAGGGAGCCAAGGGAAAGACTTCCTTTTATTTCTGTAAACAGTGTTAAGGACAACATCCAAAGACTGTCCCTTGCACCCCACCCCTTTCTCCAAACTGCAGCAATTCAAGGTAAGGTTCTCCTTAGGAGAGCAATGCTTTCCCTTCCTACCATTTAAAACCAGGCCCTGTGGTATTCACTGCTGAGTGTTCTTATATCAATTACTATAAAGTTATTTTTCATATGACCTGGTAATTACAGAGCCTATTGCAGAAATAAAACTCAACCCCATGTTTTTTAAACTGCTGCTAAAACCTGATTTCAAAAAATTGAACACAAAGAAGAAAACAAAAATCCATCCAGTTCACCTTTTTAACCTCTGTATTTATAAGAAATTTGTAGATTCTTTTCTATCCCTGGGATCTATTTCCATGTGTTTCGCCTAAGTCCTTTGGGCATAAGAATAAGTGTAAGTAGTGGGTAGCTTTCAGGCATACTACCCTAAAATTATTTTATTATCCAATAATGAATGAATATATAAATCCACATTCAGTGACACTTGGTAAGCAGGCTCATCACATCTCCTTCGCCAGCAACCATGACTTGGTGAAAACATGAAGGTCACCAGAATTTTGGTTATCAACTATTCCCACCACCATGCCTTTCCTGTAATCAACACGGACCTTTTCTGTCCCTGCCCACTGTTACTGTAGATGAAAGATCCATAGGTGATTATTTAGACTCAAGAAGAAATTTGTTCTTTTGCTTCCTTCTTAAATTGTATACTCTGAATTCTTTTAATAATGTGTTGTAAATTTGGTACAAAACTATTTTTTTTAAAGAAATTCCTACTGAACTTTCACTAAGAAGAGTGTAAAAAAAATCAATCAATATAAAATAATTCAATATTTAAGAGCCAGGGATCCAGAGGTATTTCATATCATCCTATAGGGGCAATTAGCTGTACAGCTCAGAAAATTAGAATATAGCATGCTGTAAAGTTCCTGGACACACTCAGGTAACAAGTGTCTCTGTTATACTCCAGCTAATTCATTAGAGAAAAATCTGCTTTAAATTGTGTGCCTTCCATAAATATATTTCATAGAAATAGACATTAAAATCACAAAACTACACTCTGAAGTTCATTCATCCATGGGTGATTAAGACCAGTGACTCTAGTAAGTATCCAATGTGGTGCTGAGTGATCTGGGCCTCTCAAATAGTCCATAGGTCCTTCTTAGAAAATTGGGGTGGGGGTGGTAAAATACCAGCCCACAAAGCTTGATGATAACGTCTGTGCTGTGCTATTATGTATAGAATAATCTCTCTTTCTTTTTCCTTTAAATTTGTTTTCCTCTTGCTTCCCAGAGGATTGTGTGGAGGACAATGCAACATAGTGTAAGCTTTGGTCTTCTTATTCTTCCTCTCATCCTCATTTGTCTTTGTATATGGTCATTCCAGAGAGTTCCTGGGAAATGCCACCTCCACATCCCCTTTCCAAATTGTCTAGAGAGCCGCTGAGCCTTGCCTGAGACCAGCAGGTTCAGAAATTTCATTTCTGCTTGGCGTATCTGGTGAACAGTCTTTCTGGTATTCCTTCCTCGTGACAAAGTTTGCAGGCGAAGTTTTGTATAAGACTAACTCATTTGGTGACTGATTTAAATTCTGTCCTAATGTTCAGACAATGTGTAGTCTGCCTGAAAAACTCGCTCTTCCCTGATAGAATATATTGGCTTTTTTCTTCTTGTGCTGAGCGAATAATTACCTTCCTAATAATAACAACAAACCAACATCAGGTCTCATGAATACGAAGCTAATTTTTCCATTAGCTGGGATATAGAGAATGTCAAGGGTTAAGAAACAGTTTGTTTACTCTTCTTTTTTCTCCTACTTAAATTTACTGATGTCTTTCAGGCTGTTCAGGGAGGGAGCATTGGGCATTTTTTTTTTTTTTAATACAAAGTGATTTGTACTGAGAGTAATGAGGAACACCTAGTTCTCTGACCAGGTTTTCTTATATAGTAAAGTTCTTAAACTTAAGAAGTTCTCTTAAATAATTTGATATTCATTCTCATCTGGCTTTTAGAATACTTTTCCATGCTAGTAACGCCCCTTAATAAAGATCTGACCTCACATCACACCGTGAACCTAGGGGAAAATGTGACCTTCACCTCAGCATCATGTTGCCAGATACCTGCCTGGCCAGCAGTGCAGACAGTGGTTAACACCATGTCTAAGCTTCCTCTCTTAAAATGCATTTGTTTAAAAGGAAATTGTTGCTATTCATCATTCCAGATGTCTGAGCCCAGGGCAGTTTGGATGAGGGAAGTAAGTTAAGAGGTAAATCTGGATGAGGAATACTCTGGCAGGGAAAATGTTGAGGAAGAAACAGAGAAAAGAGATAATTTAAAATCTGCTGCTGCTGTGTGGGAGATGGGAGGAGAACGCCCAGTGAAGTGGGTCAAGTGAGCCTTATGAGCTGAGTCCTACAGAAAACAGCTAGGATATCTCCAGCCCCCACAGCTGCTGCCTGTCCTTCCCAGCTTATTCTCTGGGTGTCTCCAGATTTCCAGCAGCTGAGCTAGCTCAATCTCCCTACCTGATAGTTATCAAGAAGAATGATTTCTTCGACCACACTGGAAAGAATGCAATCATATCATCTTCTCCCTGCTCACCTCTGCAGAACTGCCAGCCCACTTGCCTCCCACCATCTCCATTCACTAAGTCAAAAAAAAAAAGAAAAGTCAAATGTCTATTGCTGTACTTGATTCTTCCCCAAATACAATGCACCTTCTGTTTTGCTACTGGTGACAAAGAGGTTAATATCATTACATACTAGATGGAAGAACTTGCAAAATATCATCAAGATAAGCCCTTGTTTGTTCAAAAACAAACAAGCAAAAGCAGTGTGTCCTGCCTGATGGTTAATACCAGTTGCAGAGTAAAAGGCTAGTTGGGAAGATGTTCTGCCATGCCTCTTTGGAGTCATTTTGGGGTGATTTAGGAAGTCTTGGTTGTAAGGATCTGGAAAGCCTTCTGTTGTTCATTTTAAATTGCCATGGCATTTCATTGTCACCTCAAAGGATTCTGCATCCGGCTAAATCCACTCTTTTGCATTTCAAAAGGATGTCAGGCTGTGTTGAAGAAACTGCTTTATTATCTGGTGCCTCAGCCTGTGTGCTTAGGTGAAAGTGATATTTCCTACCTTCCCTTAGACACAGGCCTGTGTATGTGTACATACAGACACACACACATTCACACACACACTCACACAGCCCCTCTTTCTTTGCTCAGCCCCGGTAGGAATTAAAAAACCTCTAGAACACCAGTAAACCAGATTCTCCACTTTAATTAGTTTTCTAAAGATAAATGGGTCAAGGCCAGATTGGCTTTCAGAATCCTCTGCTGCAGCTGAATAAATTATACCCATTCACCCCCAGCAAACAAACAGCCACAGCTCTCTCCACTTGAGAATGTGAACTTCCCAGCCTTGCCCAGACTTGCTTTATTTGCTGAAAAACCCCAGTGAGACACCCCAGTTTCATCTCAATGAACTCTGGTCATAACTGAAGCAAAATACAGAGAGCTTTCAAAAGAGGGAGAAAATACAAACATTAAAACCAAGACACCCAACCTATTTACTTGGTCTGGGTATCTTTCTCATCCAGACAAATCCGCAGCCTGGGGTGGCAGAGAGGCATCTGACTGAGGCTTCTTTCCACTCAGGAAGTTGGTGGTTGATGAGCCGCAAGTGGGGAATAAGACACAGTTGTAACATGATGGCTTAGCTCCAGGATGCATATTCTGGCTTGCCGGATGCACTGATCTAATCCAATGGTATTCACTCTTGGACAGCCAGTTTGACTGCCCGCTCCTGCAGGGGAATGTTCAGCTCACACTTAGGGGAGAGCGGACTGTGTTGGCATGGTTGGGGACCTATTCTTGCAAGCAGGTGTAAAAATAGTGGATTCAGGATGGAGAATAGACCTCTCTTTCAGCTCAAGCAGGGTTGTGTTTAATTGTATTGGGGTTTTATACAACAGGGAGAAAGGAGTCCCCAGCTATGTAACTCCCTGGGAATACCACAATCCATTCCATGCCTCTGCTTTAAGACATGCCCAAGAACTATGCATTGCAACAATAGAATAAAATCATGCCGTACATTTTAAAGGAAAACACTTGCACAGCTTGATTTAGGTATAAGTGGTCTGCAATCATTTGGGAGGAGATAATTTTACCAACAAACTCTTTTCAACTCCGTGTTAACTTCTCTTTTGTACTCAGAAACATTTAAGCAAGAACTTTGCTGAACTATGAGTATGTCATAAAAATGAAATGTTATGCATTCAGGTCCCAAGTATGGCTCTATAGATTTTATATCTCTTTTATGGTATGTTCATATGCTTATTTTCCCCTTCAGACTTAAGAATTTCTTTCAGAATCCCTAGACTTCAGTTAAACCCAAATTGATGTGTTCTAGAGTGATCAATCCATCAATAAATGCATTTATCCCACTGTTTGTTGCATACCCCTTAATAAAACGCTCATGTACATTCTACATCATAGAATGTCATTAGTGGTAGCATCATCCAAGTGATACTGTGTGCAAAAAAAGCATTGCTTACTTAACTGGTTGTACACACTGTAGCCACTGCAGGAAATAGTGCTAGAATAGAGTTTCATAAAACATAAGCCTACAGGAAATAGGAATTTGATTTTGTAATCTAAGATAGGCAACCCAATAAAGAATGTGCGGAAGGTACATTAACAAGTGGATCTTCATTGACCTAGAAGCAAATTGCCAATGTGAAACCTCTTTGTTATCTACCCCACCTCATAGCTCATGCTCCCTGCTTAAGCCAGAACTTTTTGCCTGTTCTTGAACAAACTCAACAGCAACTTTGTTGTCAGTTCTGACACTGGCCAGATGAAAAAGTCCATCTGCACAATTATTCACAATATCTGTCTTCACTCCTATATGGAGTTGGTGTTGGGGTGAGTTGATGAGGAAAGCTGAATAGTTGAGCCATACAAAGTGTTCAAACCATAGCTTTTAAAATGTGTGTTTCTGAGAGGCATCCGCTGACATAGATCTTTTATTAAATTATTGAACAGCTTAAAGAACCTTTCCCTTGTCATGGAAAATCTGCAGTAATTTCTTCTCATAGCTGTCTGAGATATTCGCACCACAACTCCCAAATGGGACGTTCACGCTTATGAGAGATAGAGCTGAAGAAATGGGATATTTCATAAATACCAGTTTTGATGTATTTGCTGTATAATCAATCAGGCTTTTAAGCGACTCTGGGGTCTATGGAATACATTTTAAAGCACTGGGAATTTGGTTATTCCCATAACATACTTGGACACTCTTTACTGCTAGCAATAAACCTCAAGCATAAACATTGTAGAGAAAACCAGATGAAAAGAAACCTGTTTGAGTGAAAATTGACTTCCCTTCATAAATGTTAAAGGTGGAAAGATAACTGCAATACACAATAATTTTAGTACTTAAGCTCTTTCACAGTCAATTATCATCAAAGATTGTCTTCATGAGTATTTTCTTACACCTGGAAAATTAGCCATGCTTTTCTTTTCTTTTTCTTTCTTTCTTTCTTTCTTTCTTTCTTTCTTTCTTTCTTTCTTTCTTTCTTTCTTTCTTTCTTTCTTTCTTTCTTTCTT